AGAACGTCACAAATTATAACATGAACAATAAAAATAATTAAAATCATTACAAACTGGTTCTCTAATCCATCGCGTCAGCCTCCGGTCGTTTCTTAAGTTTCAAATCCAACCATCCAATATCTTTAAAAAAAGTGTGGTTTATTTCTCAGTAGACAGAGCCATTCTCTTGTGTCATCCAAGATTTCATACATTCAACTTCAACATTGTTAAGAGTCTACTGCGTAAGAATGCTTACCCTCCACAATTTTTTGAAAAGTTAATAAAATCTCGATACTTAAAACTTAAAAATCATATCAACAACAACAATAACAATAATAATTCACAGACTAGCTATACTTCACGACTTTATTACATTACAAAAAAAATCTATTCATCAATCAAAAAATATTTTCCAAATTTAATTACCTGTATAAAAATTCTAATTTTGTAGCAATTCCAAAAGTATCAAAAAGTTTTAATAAATTTGTAAAGTTGGGTAAGAATTCAACACCGACACTCAAAAACACAAGTTTTGTATGCAAAATAAGTTGTAACAAGTGTCCCGCTAAATATACAGGAGATACAAAGAAAGAATTAAAAGAGAGAATAAACGAACATAAACGCGGATCTGACTCTGAATCTAAAATTACCAATGCAATTTCATAAACACGAGTTTAATTGGAAAGAAAAGATTCTTGACAAAGAAGCAAATTATAAAAAAAGCATTTTTCAGAAATAATTCATATCAACTTGACTAATAAGACTATCGATAAACGCGAAGATATCAAATATCTTAGCAAAATATACAACCCAATTTTTTCTAATACTGTCTTACCTGTATGTATTTATTATAGAACTCTCCATTTCTTGTTGCCTCTTCCTATTATTATTGTTTATTTCCTTCGTACGTTCGTCCTATACGGTACTTTTATATCATTAGTAGAGTCTTGACAACCGTCTGTTGTACATGAATCTCAGTCGGCTGTAGTTGACTATATGATTTTAATGTTATAATTTCATGAAGTAAAATTTTATATGTGCATCTGTTTCTGAGATTTTTTTTTTGTTATTCTGTTTGTGTGCATAAGTATTAATTTTTCAGTGGCTTGATGAGGTCCAAGAAATTCGGACGAAACGTATCAATGATGTAATAATTATATACATACTATACTAGTCTTACTAATATATAAAGCAAAGTCGCTAAAACCGTTGTAATCGCTAACCGCAAAAATAACTGAACCGATTTTGCTGAAATTTTGCATACCGATTCTTGACACTGCCTATATGGTTTTAGTATGGTTTTTATCTTGGAAAATTTAATAACAATCGCAATAAATAAGCTTAAAGTTTTGCAAAAATACGCCAGCTTTTCACTTTAGTTTAGTAGCATCAACTAGGTGGCGTCGACATAAAATCAAAGCTACCTGCAACATAATTAAATAAGTGTGAATACAATAGGGCGGAGCGTCGCGGATTTTTTGCAATCGTCTACTGGTAGTTCATCGAGCTGCGTCGAGAATGTAGATAATAGTCGTGCAGCAGGATATCCCGGTTACCGATGACGCTCTTCTCCAATGGGCAAGTGATCTAGATCTACTTTCACCCTGAACCTCTAGGATTAACGAGTGCCACCAAAAAAAAAATTTATTTTAACCGATGACGTCTCCGGCGGAATACCAGGAGACGTGTCTAGCCTGAGCACATCCTGTTTCAACACTTCAGAGTAAGGTGGCCGTACCACAATCTGGCCTGGTGGCGTCAGATAATTTTTTTACTACAAATGTACACCAGAGAAGACAGCCTTGAAGAGTACGGGCAGCCACAACCACCCACTTCTTAGTGGTCATTCCAACGGCATACCTACAGAGAAGGTATTCTCCAGGCCCACTTTCCCGACTAACGATGAGCGGTTGGTTATCCGGGGAACGACCTGAAGACGAGATATATTTTGGTCAGCGGCGTATCTCCCTCATGTACGGTCTCCGTACACAGACTTCGAGGATAAGAGTCAAGCTACCAACAGTTGGCTCTCCATCATCAAGAATAATAATAAGGAATTACTAGAAATTTCACCACTGGCCTTTTTCAGGGCCAATATAAGTATTTACGTTCATTACTTAACCTTTAATCTCATCGGTTGTTTTAAGGGCAACCTTAGTTTAAGTTACCTTACCAACAAATACATTTTTACTACCATTTCCGGAAACGTTATTAGTTGATTAAAAGACTATGTAAAGCTGGCCACTATTAAACCAAGTCAGTCATTCACTGGCAGACTTCACGAGCAGAGTTGTTCGTCGCAAGGCTGGGAACTCCGGTGACCGACGACCCTAAATTTCCCTTTCGACTCTAAGCATTAAACCAGGAATCACCGAACCTCTTCAAGGTCTGCGATGGGCAAATCTAACAGCTATGAAGGAAAAAAAACTTGAGCCAATGGGACAGTCTCCAACGAGCAAGCATGACGAACCAATCTCCTTATCTTAGATCACCAAAACAACGGAGTCAGAAAAAAAGAGGTGCTTTAGACACCAACGTCTTTGACATTATACTAGGAGACGTTGAGAAAAATCTGTACAACTAGCTCCAAAGCTTCGGACTTTGTAATTTTTCTCCCGATCAGAATAGAGCTTTAACAGCAAGCCAGAGAAAATCACCCTGAGGTATCCAGGCAGTCACAATTGCTGCTAACTTCAGTCAAGAAAGAGTTTACTTAAGACGCTCAACAGCCTTTTTTAGAATAATCGGACGTCGAACTACCTTGCCAACAAATATATTAGAACTTAACAAAGTTGACAGAAAACAGCCTTTAGGGGTCACAGAAGTCTTAAGGTGGTTCTTTACCTAACCCATTTACTTAAACTTACAGGAAAACTTGGAGAGATTGTTATTAAAGTTACAAGGCATCTTCTCTTAAAATTTCAAGTCCCTTTATCAGGCAAATTTTTGAAAACAAGTCAGTCAAAAAATGCACTTTTAACATGTATTCTTACGTAGGTTACTTTTCCATACTACGATATCATGTAATATCTCGTAAAGTAGCCTTAAGATCTTAATAGAAAAAGTTTGTAGTGAAAGAAGAACTTTTCAGCTTTGTGATAATATAACAAAAGTATGGGCTAATCAGGGAAATAGTATACGATATTTAATCGTAAACGTAATCAGTTATCGATCATGCAGAAATCGGCGGCAACGTCTGCTTGAGTAGGAGCGTACATGCCATTTTCAGAACCTTGCGTCAAAAAAAATTTTTTTCATAACTCTTACTCTGACTTTATTAGCATGTTTATTTGTATGTAAATGCAATGATATTATAGTCAAGTGCCAGTACAACATATTTTATGTTGCAAATAATACGCTAATCGAAAATTAGAAAACCACAGGGTCCCGTGTCGCTTTGATACGGCACCATCGTGAAGAACCACCTTAAGCATGCCAAAAGTCGCAAGAGGGTGAATTGGAAGAAAAACTTCTTATGTATCCAATAAATACAATTTCAGGCGTCAAAAAACTGACGCAGAAAATTTATTGAGATTGGAACAGCAGCGTCAGTATCGACAAATAAAGAATCCATTACGTGAGAGATCAGCTTTTCATTGTACCCTCACAGTAATCTCTTAAATATTTCAGTTTTTTAATTAAGTAGAAAATTTATTTTTGTGGCAATAAAAAATGTAGAGATTAAGCTCCAGGATTTTGTGGCTCTGGTAATAAAGTTGTGAGATAAGAGAAAAAAATTTTTTTTAGTACATATTTTTATGAGCTTTAAATTTTAACAGCTTTAAAAAATAGCCCTTTTCGTAAACTATACGGGAGAAACTGCAAATCAACGGCCGCTTATGGCCAATGATTATTTTATGGCATAAGGAACGTTCGGTACTTTTCAGCATAACTATATTTTTTTTATTTTTACAGCTTATTATTTGACCAAATAAACTGTATGGAATCCCGAACAAATATGTTTTCAATAAGAAGACTTTTGTTCTGAGAAGTGTCAGGAATATATGTAAAATTTCTTACTGAAAACTTTTCACATTACATGTCAACACACTACGGTGTTCCATTGAATAAGTCTCGGGCGAAGCCGAGAGGTGGGGCCGGTAGTGTTATATTTTTATAATATGCTTAGCAATGAATTCTTCCACTAATATCCCTATAATATCATAAAACATTTTTTTTAACTGTAATGTACGTAAAAGGTTACTCCTTATAGTTGCAAACATTTAGATATGTTAGTATATAATTGTTGGCAAAATTTTCTCATTCTACATTTTGAACACTTTGCTTATATTAACCTTTTTTTTCGAATAACTACTTAATTGGAAAATTAATTGTTCTATACTTGAAATCAAATCCATACTACAAAATTCAGTATGATAAAATGATTTTTTGAGATCAATTTTTTATATAGCTTAAATTTTTGTTGTTAATGCATGCAAAGCAGACAAACATAGTAAGCATTAAAACAACAAAGGAAGAAAGTTGACAGAGACAGTTAGTAGTGTTGGATGTGATTAAAACATGCAATGGTGACCACCAAGGTTAACTCCAGGTTTAGCAATTTTTTAGAGGTTCTTCACGCTTCACTATGGACAGAAGATATAATAAGGTGCTGCTCCACTATCCAAGCGTAGGAAATATGATTTGAATATCATGAAAAATTCAGTTATTAACAATGTTTTTGGATGAGATTAACTAGAAACTTCGCCAGGATTTTTATTGAATGTTTTCTTGCTCCCACAGGCATAAATACTGAGTCTTACTGTATAAAACTGTTTAGGTAAAATAGTAGAATAAGGTAAAGGAAAGCGTAAGAACCTAGAAATTGGCCAACGAAAAAATGTAAGTACTGATCGAAAATGTATGTATAAAGAACCTTATAAAAAAGCATTTTACTAACTCGTCCAATGCAATTTTCGAGTCATTTTGTATCAAAATTTTTTAAATTTTCTACCTTTGTTTCATACAGTTTTATAATGTAAATGTTATTGCTTCATAAAAAATTTTTTTTTCTCTCGATGCACTCAGTTCAATTGCTTTCGTTCAAACTTTATGGGCGTACAGAAATAGTTGATACAACTAGCAACTACACAGAATTTTACAGTTTAAAACATGAATAGATTTACTTAATTTTCTCACATAACAATTGCATTCATGGTTAAGTACTTTGATCAATAACTTAGAACTATAAATATTCACAGTAGAGCAGGTGTACTATGCACTGATCTTCAATGATTATTTTGTTAGTTTTGTTTTTCACTCAAGGTTTTTGAGCTTGTGTAACTCTGTGTCTAATGCACTTTTTTAAGCATTTTTCATTTCCTTGAAAGTGAATAAAATTATTAATTATGAAAATTAATTACAACATAAAACAGTACAAAAATCTTTCAAGAGCCGCGAATTTGTTCTACTAACTACTAACGTTAAAGTTTATTGCCAGTTTGTGTCCTGTATTTAAATTAGATATCTTTTTGAAATAATTTTAATCAATTGGATTTTGTACAACTATTAATATAAATTCTTTGTCTGGCGCCACCATTATTTCATGCTTCTTGCTTCTTATTCGAAGAAATGTCAAATCATTTGTTGGATCCAAATCTCTTACAACCGAGCGTGCCTTATCCGACAACTGACTTATTAACCCGGCATACTGAACAGTCGTTGTGTTATCCATTGTAGATTTTATAGGGATACCTGCACATAAACAATAAATAATTAATATAGAATCCAAAACCACTGCTCATTTACTTAAACTCAGCTTTTACAACTTAAGGCATATCATATATGTTTAAAGGGATTTTAATTCGTGACAATTAGAACCAGTTCAACAAGATTTGGTCACAATTGATCGCATAATATAAAAAAATTATATCCTACAATTAGAAAAAATGGGTTTTCAAAGCTCATTTTTCTTGCTGACCAATTTTTGAAAACTTACAAACCTGCATCAGTGTATTATTTGTTGAATAAGAAAATCGATTTGATTTTCGTTCCTTATAAGTGCATGCATGAAAACTTTAGAGCTAGCTTCTCACACAATAAATAATTTGAAATTTTAACCTCACAATTTTGTGGACAATATTATTCAAAAAGTTAAAACTAGCTTTTGGTAATAAAAAGTAAACAAAACAAAAAAAAAGTAATAAGTACACTTTTCAATGAACAACAGATTTTTCGTTTTACAGCAAATTTATGGACAGTTAAAATATCATTTACCAGTAATAAGGCCTTTTATTTTAGTCCAAGCTTATATGTTCATTATCAATTAAAAGAGATTATGTATTTTTAATTAGAATCGTGGATTTCACAAATTATTTGTTTAGTACGTAATATTTAGTTGTAGTTTTAAGTATCTGCTTATAAGGCTTTATTAGCATAAAATAAAATACCAGCATATAAAAATTATTAACTTCACGTTCGTCGGGTGCATAAATAAGTTACGGGCCTGTTGCATACCCTGGTAGCATAGGCCACGGGAACGAAAGTAATCATTTGCGGACGTGAAGTGTCACATTGCACCCTAAGCAACAAAAATATTATTTGAACGTCGAGTGCAAACGTACATTCTTTATGGGCTGAAGCTGTACTTTCCATCTATAGCACGAAAACTACTATTTACTCCTTAAAAAATTTTTGACTCCTTTACAATAAGTAAAGTGTTTTGCTATTACCTTTCATGTAACCAAAATTTTAAAAAAAGTTGTTTTTCTTATGCACTACACTAATTCATTTGTCTGTTATAAATAATTTAAAAATAAAGAAAATTGAAATTATTGACATCATTAGAAGGGCTTCGTCGGAAGCACAGTATTCTCATTAAGAACTTTATAGTATAAATCTATTATAGATTGTCGATTTTCATATATTTTAGTCCAAAAGATGACACTGACAACATTGTTATTTTTTCAGTTAGTACTTTTTGCAAATAACTAAACAAAAAAAAACATATTAAACTTTTTTAAATTTGCTGTCGACATTTTACATACATTAGAAAAAAATTACCCTATAACTTTTACAAGATGAGATAATTTTGATCGTTTACATGAAAAATGTTCATTCACAAATAATAAAAGATAAAATTCTGAATATCGGCCATTAAATTGTAAAACTTTATTGTAAACGTAACTACGTGAGAGCCAAAAAAAAAAAAAAATGCCAGCCATAGGTCCAAAAAATGGTAAAAATGGCCAAAACAGATTTTTAGCTCTCACCAGAACAGGAAATTCGGACAAAAAATGTTCTGCATGAAAAACATGACAATATCAAGACGGACACAATGAGACCCAGTAGGCCTGAAGTGGCATTGCCGTTTTTCCGAAAATCGACAAAAAGTGCCAATTTCGTTCTGTTTTTCGATAGTTCGTGACTGACGTTGGGAATAACGTTTTTACTATTAATTTTGACAAAATATGGGTTTTGTGATTCATAACAACTCCACAAAATTAAGACGATCGGATGTAAAGTGCTTGCAAACTGTCAAATAATTAAAGAAAAGGACCTTCCGATAAACGGCTCCAAAAAAATTGTTAGACCAGTTAGAGCCATTTTTCCAAATATCTACTCTGAATAAGTTTTTGATCTAACACTGGTTGAATTCTCGTACCCCTTAATTTTTTGTAAGTATCTTTAAAATTCATCAAAAAATAGTATTTTTTCGCAAAGTACCAGTGGAAGCACGGTGTGGGCGCGCTGCCGATGTAGGCCACACCCTCATTTTCACAGTGCCGTCAACACGTTTTCAAATGAGTTGCTTCGAACTGATGCAGTCGGCAAAATTATCCATATTTCCTGATCTGAGCATCGTAAATTGACAATTGTTTTTTTTTTACCAAACATTTTATAATGTTTATTTTCATTATCTTATATGACTATGAATATTTTATACATGCACGTATAGACGCGTGATAACGTGTATATGCATAAAATAAGCATAACATTTCAGCAGCTACGTTCATTACTAGTGTTACGTCCGAAATTCTAAAAGTGAAAGGTGGAACTCGTAGATTCGTTCTAAAAATAAATAAATTTAATTTCCGTTCGTCAGGTACCAGCTGTCAGCCTAAAGGTCTTATTTACTATTACTTACAGTAAACTTTTCATTTAAATCGTTAACTAAGCGTTATAGTGTTAGGTTTCACCGAATGGTATGTGTGCAGTAGTGTTAGTGTGTCATACGCGGGCTGGCGTTGACCTACTGTTTGATTTTATATATTACGTAATGCAATAGTAGCGTATCTTATTCGTCTTTGTATCTCACGTCTTTGTCATACGTTGTCTATTTAACTATTCCTTGATATCCAATATATTCATCAAACTAAGAGTTATGTTTCTATCGATTAGAATTTTGTATCTTGGAATAATTCATATAATTTAGTAATTGGAATATTTTTAAATTAAGAATTAAATTTAATCAACAACCAAGTTATATCTTGTCTGATGATTTAATGAATTAGGAGAAGCCGTAGTTATTTGATTTTACAGATAATGTTAATTATAAAGGTTTAAATTTACATTTACAATAATTAAACAATTTATAGTTTTTTTTAACTCAACTTACTTATGTAATCGGTGGTAAGCCGCTACTTGCCTACACGCAGTCGCAAGATCTTACAAGGCCGACCGCAACGATGATTCGAATCCTACACAAGAATACTCGTGCCGATAACAATAATTAGGCAGCTGCTTTTAATGCCGGAACCCAAGTCAACGATCCTTTCTTTCTTGTTCCACTTAGATTCACTTTTTAGGCGAGTCTACAGTGGCCTGGTTTGCTCGAGCTTTTGTTACACAGCTTAGTCACCGAACTAAGTCTCACATTTGCTTGAAATGCACGATTCTAACACGCAGCATAGTAACCGAATCACCAGAAAAAATCCACTATTTGTTGTAAAAATTCAGGTAAGTGATGTTTCATTAAAACCAAGAACAAAATCTCAATAATTTTCGATGGGATTCAAACTCACGTTCCCTTGAGTTTTTTCGACTAGGAGGCTAGCACGCTTACCACGAAGCCATCGAAGCTCTAATTGTCTTATAGTATAATTTGTTGTTTGAATGTGCCTTGGGCGAGCAAGTATCGTCAATAAGAAACCCAACAGTTTTTTTATTTTATTTATCAATTAGTTGTTTCCTTACGCCTGCAAGCATTGACGATTAGATATTCAACAGTTATTTAGTAATGCTTATGAGTAAACTGTTTTCTTAGGAAAGCAAGCATCAGCAATTACTTATCCAACTGTTTTTCAGTAGTATTAATTTATGAACGGTTTTCTTAGGCAAGCAAGCACCGGCGATAAGAAATCTAACAGATTTATAGTATTACAAGCAGCCCCCCGTCTCGGCTTCGCCCGAGACTTACTAAATAAAACACCGTAGTGTGTTGACATGTAATGTGAAACATTTTCAGTTAGAAATTTTACACATATTCCTGATACATCTCAGAACAAAAATCTTCTTATTAAAAACATATTTTTTCGGAATTCATATAATTTATTTGGTTAAATAGTGAGGTGTAAGAATTCAAAAAAATTATTATGCTGAAAAGTACCGTGCGTTCTTTATGCCATAAAATAATCGGTGGCCATAAGAAGCCGTTGATTTACAGTTTCTCCCGTGTAATTCACGAAAACGGCTACTTTTTAAAGCTGTTAAGATTTTAAACCCCCAAAAAATGTATATTAAAAAAAAATTTTTTTCCTCATATCTCACAACTTAAATACCAGAGCAACAAAGTCCTGGACCTTAAACCCTACATTTTTATTGCCACAAAAACACAAATACATTTTCTACTCATTAAAAAATCTGAAGTAGGATCTTTAAAGATTTCAGAGATTGCTGTGAGGGTACAATGAAAAGCTGATCTCTCACGTAATGGACTCTTTAGTTGTCGATTTTGACGCTGCTGTTTCAATCTCGATAAATTTTCTGCGTCAGTTTCTTGACGCCTAAGTAAAATTGTATTTATTAGATACACTTGAAGTTTTTCTTCCGATTCAGCCTCTTGCGACTTTTGGCATGCTTAAAATTTGTGTGACCCTTAAAGTGTGTTTTCTGTCAACTTTGTTAAGTTCTAATATATTTGTTGGCAAGGTAGTTCGACGTCCGATGGCCCTAAAAAAGACCGGTGAGCTTCTTAAGTAAACTCTTTCTTGACTGCAGTTAACAGCGATTGTGACTGCCTGGATACCTCAGGGTAATCTTCTCTGGCTTGCTGTTGAAGACCCAGACTGATTAAGAGAAAAATTACAAAGTCCGAAGCTTTGGGGCTAGTTGTAGTGCTCTTTCCCAACGTCTCCCGGTATAACGTCGAAGACGTTGGTGTCTAAAGCACCTTTTTTAGTTGCAGATTCAGTTGTTTTGGTGATCTTAGATGGGGAGATTGGTTAGTGATACTTGTCCAGTGGAGGCTGTTCCGTTGGCTCAAGTTTTTTTTCCTACATAGCTGTTATAGGTTTGCCCAACGCAGACATTGGAAAGGATCAGTGATTCCTGGTTGAATGCTTAGAGTCGAGAGGGTAGTATAGGGTCGTCGGTCACCGGGTTTTCCAGCCTTGCGAAGAACAACTCCGCAGGTGACGTCTGCTAGTGAATGGCTGACTTGGTTTAATAGTGCCCGTCTTTAGTTAATATAGTCTTTTAGTCGACGAATCGCTTCCGGAAATGGTAATAAAAATGTATTTGTTGGCAAGGTAGTT